TTGAACTTTATAACACTTTGGAAACTGGATTGTTTGGAAGAGGAGATAGAAGAGCCGTATTTACTGCCGGAATACTGCCCTCGATTGAATTTTTGCAGATTTTTACAAGCAGTAGTTATGTACACTAGCTTCACCTGAGCTAAGTTAAAAGTGGACAAAGTAAGGAGAGTGTTATAATACAACAGGATATCATCCAAAATACATTTTATTTTATTTTATTTATTTATTTTTAGGGGTACCGGAAATCGAACTCAGGACCTTGCGCTTGCCAGGCAGGTGCTTGTGCCCCTAAGCTACATCCCCGGCCCCAAAATACTTTTTAAAAGACAGTAGATTCGCTTCTATAACAATACGACTCGGATTTGCTTTTTAAAAGTTGAAAAATGATCTCGCTTTTTATTTTTATTTGAAAAAAATTTTTATCAGTACATATTTGCCATACATAGTACTCACATTCATCATAGGGAATTTGTACCTATACATAGTATATCTTTTTGTTTGTTTTTGTCTTTTTGAGACAGGGTCTTGCTATGCAGTTCAGCCTGGGCTTGAGGTCACTTTATAGCCCAGGCTGGCCTCGAACTTGCAGCGATCCTCCTGCCTCAGCCTCCTGAGTGCTGGGATTACAGGCCTGCACCACCACGCTGGTCCCATAATATATCTTCTTTTTTTTCTCATTCCCCTGCCCTCTCTTCAGCCCTTCCTCCTCTTCCCATTTACAGCTTTGCTTCTATTTCCTCTTCCATTTTGATTTTTAACCCCCTTCCCTTCTTTCCCTTCCCACACCCCAGTCTTGTTGCCCTCCCCACCTGAATTTGTTCTTCCTACTTCCCAATATGTATCCTCCATTTTGCTCCTTGTTTACCCTTAGCACTTCTCACACTAGAGAAACTGCAATGTTTAAACTTGTGTACCTTATTTATGTCACTTAAAAATTATGGTCTCAAGATGCATCCATTTACTTACAAATGACTGAAGTTTATCCCATTTTTAAAAAGAATCTGTCTTTGAGATAGGGCCAGGTCATGTAGTCCAGGCTGGCCTTGAACTCACTGGGTAGCCCAGGCTGACCTCGAACTCACAGCGATCCTCTCTCCTCAGCCTTGTGAGTGCTGGGAATACAGACAGATACCCCCACACTCGGCCAGTTAAAGGTGCTTTTAAAATATATTAGCTTGATTCCATTACAGTCTCATATTAACTTCTAAATTTTGAAACTTTAAAAATAGAATTTAGATTATTTTGACTCCTCATTATGTCAGGTACTAGGTTATATTTTAACGGATTCTGCCTGAAGGGTTCTAGGTGAAGCATTCTGTAGTGTGTTTATACATATATGCGAGGTGCACTGTGCTGCTAGCTGCTATAAGTTTTTGTTTTGTTTTGTTAGAGGAGGGTACTGGAGATCGAACCCAGAGGTGCTCTATTGCACACAAAGGGTGCCCAGCCCTTTATTTTTTATTCTGAGACAGGATTTTACTAAGTTGCCCAGGCTGGCCTTTAATTTATGGATCTGATGCTTCTGCCTCAGCCTCCCAAGTAGCTGGGATTATAAGTGTGCACACAGCCTACATGAGGTTTTTGATACTCATTTGAAATAGAAATGTTAACTATAAAAACATTTTTATATTACCACTTCATTAATGCTGCTAACATAGAAAGCTGACTTCTATGTATTGTTAGTGTTGTTTGTAATCCATTATTTTAGAATCCTGTTCCTTAGGACAAAAGATCACTTACAAGCCGGGCGTGGTGGTGCATGCCTGTAATCCCAGCACTTGGGAGGCTGAGGCAGGAGCATCGTTGTAAGTTCGAGACCAGCCTGGGCTACAAAGTGAGCTCAAGTCCAGCCTGAACTGCATAGCGAGACCCTGTCTCAAAAAGACAAAAAGAAAAAAAAGAGATCACTTACTATGAAATAAGTGGAAAAGTGTAGTTAATTCAGACAGTAAGGTACTATTTAGGGCCTGGGATATGGCTCAGCGGCACAAGCACCTGCCTGGCAAGCGCAGGGTCCTGAGTTCAATTCCAGGTACAAAAAAAAAAAAAAAAAGGTACTACTTAGTGTTACATTTATATTGGCTTAAAAATTTTATCCATATTTTCTCCAGACATGGTTAGTTTCAAATGAAGAACTGATAAGATGTGTTAAATAACAATCAGGAATGCTGTAATATTTCTGAAAATTTAGAGGACTAGGAGCCACTTAGATTCTATATTCTGTTTGTTATTCTAGATGTAAATGGTCATTTTGATTTTATTTAGGTGGAATTACAGTGATTACAATTAAATATGACATTCAGATTAGTGGAATATGACATTCAGTTAGTGGAATTCTGGGATTACATTAAAATGTTTTCATTTGCCCCTTAAATGCTTTAGATTTTAAAATTATGAGCTGTTTGAAGAGGGTGGGCATGTAATCCCAACACTCAGGAGGTTGAGGCAGGAAGATTGCTGTAAATTTGCAGTAAGTCTAGGCTACATAGTGAGTTTAAGCACAGCCAGAACTACACAGCAAAATCCTTTCTCAACAAACAGTTCTGTGCCGTTTGAGAAGTTTTTTTTCATTAATATTTTATATATATATATATATATTTTTTTTTACGATGCTGTGGATTGAATCCAGGGCCTCAGGCATGCAAGGCCAGGTAATTTACCACTGAACTATTATCACTAGCTCTGAAAAGTTGATTTTTTAAAAAATCCCTTTGACAAGACCAAAATTGAATGCTGTAAGAGTAGGTGCATTCTTTCGTTCTCACGTCAGTTGTTGGTCCTGCTTCATTTCCTCATTATTTCCCAGATAGACCAGTATCTCTTTAGGGCAGCCTACAGGAATAAAATTTATCTGATTTCAGCAATTTATGGGCTTCTCAAACCTACTTGCTAAAACAGGGCCACTGAAAGTGGCCAGCTAAGGAAACATCTGGAGATCCTCAAAGCTCTAGGTTTTGATCCTTTTCAAATTGGACCCATGTCCTTTGCATCATTTATCCTGTTACCAAACTTTGGTGATTTCATTAGCAGTGAGTTCGTCATCAAGAAAATGAAGACTTCTTGAGTGCCGACTATATTATTGGAATAATGCTTAATGAGATCTAGTGATGCAGAGAAGCTAAGCGTGCTAGAATAATTAATTTTCATTCATGTTTCACATTTGTAGTTCATTTTGCCCTGCTTTGTCAGACTTATGCTAATTTATATTTTGAACTCAGGAGTGTTTAAAATAAAAACAAACCACAAACTTTGGTTTCACCCTGCAGACTGCTTTGAAATAAGTAAATATTTTGGTGACCCAAGATAAGAACAGTCAGCCAGACGTAGTGGTGCATGCCTATAATCCCAGCACTTCAGAGGCTGAGGCAGGAGGATTTTGGTGAGTTGGAGGTCAACCTGGACCACATAGTGAGTTCCAGGTCAGTCTGAACTACACAGTGAGACCCTATTTCAAAAAAACAAAACCAATATAAAAAAAGGTACTATGCACTTAATACACCAATACCATCAGAATAAATTAGTAACAGAAGAATACAAAGTAAATAAATTCACACAGAGCTTTATAACCACTCCCCTTTAAGAAAAAATGTACTTTTACAGCAGATATAGATGTTTCTTCATTTTTGCTTGGAGGAGCATACTGCTTATGCTCCTACTACTTGATGACTCAGTGGGAAGGAAGAGAGGCGGTTTAAACCACAGTGCTATGAGGAGGAAACTATATATGGTAACATCTATTTCTTAAACAGCCTATTGCACATGATGAGAGAACCAAGTTACTAAATCTTAAAATGATTGGCATGGGGGAGGAAGTGTAAGGATTAAAATCATACCAAGTGAACAGTCTAGAAAACAGTATTTTCTTTATATTTTGTTGCATCATGTTTCAGGTTTTTATTTTTATTTTATTTTATTTTATTTTATTTTATTTTATTTTATTTTTGGGGGGGGGTGTGGGGAATGGTTCCAGTACTGGGAATTGAACTCACGACCTCATGCTTGCCAGGCAGGTGGTGTGCCGCGGAGCTAAATCCCCAGCCCCTAGGCTTTTTTTTTTTTTAACACAGACTTTTTTTTTTGCCAGGAAGGAATGGTTAGGTTGTCCATTTGTATTATTGAAATATGCGTCATTAATGCATTCACGTTTGAAATTATGTGAAGTAGTGAAGTTTCTGCTATTTTGGTAGAATATCTAATAGCTTGTAGGAATGCTAGCGCTGAATTCTAAGCCTCTGTTTCTGGTAAGCTATTTAGGGAGGGATAGAGTAAATCATTTATTAGTAAGTGATTGATTAATTTGAAAACCAAATTCTCTTTTCTTTTGTAAGTTGTTCTGTAATTTTTTTTTTTTTTGTAAAGCAGCTACTAGATTTACAGGTCTTTCTTGATTTAAGTTTTGTGGGTTTTTTTTTTTTTTGGTGCTGGGAATCAAACTCAGGACCTTGTGTTTGCCAGGTAGGCGCTGTACTGCTGAGGTATATCCCTGGCCCCTTACAGGTGTTTCTGTAGTAGCAAAAATTTCAATTTTTGTCTTCTGGGGTATTAGCAAATGTGTGCTGCTTAAAATATACTCAAGAATTTTAAAATATGAACTACCTATCTGCACAGTTACACAGTAATCAGAGAATGCTGTTGCGATTGTTTACCCCTTGCCATGTTACATTTCCACTGTGTGCAAATGGCTCCCAACGAGAGGGAAGACAGTTCAGCCTCAGCAGCCCCTCCATGCAGCTGGGTTTGACTTACAGCCTATCCCAGATTGTTCCTCCTTCCTTCAACTTCTATTATGATTTCTTATTTAACAGAATCATGTTTACAGTTAGTACACAGAAAATGGCCCTTACCAATGTGTAGATTCTCTTTGCCATTTCCTGATTTCCTTTGAGAACATTTGTACCAAAATAACTGTTTCCAGTCTGATAAATGAATGAACTTTTAACCCTGTCTGTGTTATATTCGCTCACTACTCTGAGGTTAAACATACAAAGTTAGTATTTTAGCCAGATACGGTGCGTGTGATCTCGGCTACTTAGGAGACTGAGGTAAGAAGACTGCAAATTTGAGGCCAGCGTGGGCAACCTAGCAAGACTGCCTCAAACCAAACAATGGAAAGGACTGGTGATGGAGCACAGTAGTAGAGCACTTGGCTACCATGTGCATGGCCCTGGGTTCAGTACTGCACACAAGAAAGAAATAAGTATTCAAAAGGCATTTGCTATCTATACTGTTGGGATATATGCATAAATTATTAGTGACAGTAGGCTAGTGATTGTGACAGATTTTATTTACATGGACATTTGGGTAAGGTTGGGCTAGTGAAGAAAATACTTTACCCTTCCACATCATTTCAGTTCATATCAAGTGAGCAGGATTTTGATTATTTCCTCTGCGGTGACTGTTCCCCAAGTCCCAAAATGAACTAGTGCACCTGAATTCTGTTTAGTATTTGTTTGGTTGGGAAGTATATTCTCATTTTTACCATCAGCCACAATCATATGAGGAGATAGATATGAACAAGCAGGTTGTCTATTACATATACACCGTATCACTAACTGCACTGTAAAGCAACCAGTAAGAATTACATAGCATGCTGCACCTGCACGGCTGTCAGAGTTGCAGGGGGCAAGGATGGAGAAATAAAGAGACAGAAAGCTGAGGTCAGGTGGAACCCTCTCTCAGGATGGGAGGAAAGGAACTGCTCAACCACAGTAGCGTGTTTCTTCATACTTTTGGCAGGTTGGTGTCTCGTAACACCCATTTTGCATACTAACCCATTGCTCGGATTGTCTCAGGGTTTGGTGTTCTCTGCAATGAAGCAGCTTGTTCATATGGCTTTCTTTGGGAGCTCTTTGTTCTTGGACTGGGCTTGCCTTGTCCCCGAACATATGATCAATTTCCAGCTTCAGCCGCTCCCTACAGTATTATACTTTTAGAAATAGGTAACTACACCTGGAAAATGCCGTAGCTTTGGTGGTCCTAGTTTGATAAACTTCAGAAGTCAGCTTTTGGAGCATGGAAGAAAATGTACCAGAGGGGCTGGGGATTTAGCTCAGCGGCAAAGCGCCTGCCTGGCAAGCGCAAGGTCGTGAGTTCGGTTCCTGGTACCGGAGGAAACCCCCCCCCCAAAAAAATGTACCAGAATAGTGTGTTTTACTTAGGTTCTAAAATTAAACTAAAAGCACAGGAATTAGAGTGGCATTGGGAAATCTGACAGATTTTTCATAAAAGCTTGAGTTGTGTAAATCATAATTTCAACATTTCAAAAGCTTCTAGGTAGCAGAATGTTCTAGGCTATTTATAATTAAATGTGGTTCATCAGCATCATCTCCAACAAGGTTGCTGTAGAGATATTGGAAGATTTTTGTATTTTAGAGGGGAGGGTTAGTCAAAAGTCACTAAAGTTTAGATGCTGCTAAATTTTACCACATCAAACAAAACAGTACCTTGTACATAGTAGTTCCTGTCCAGGGTACTTTAATCTTTCCTGTTCACTTTTGTTTCTTAGTATTGTGTATCACATTCAGGTACTGATTTTCATCCTGATTCTTCTATGGTGCCTGGAGTCACAGAACAGTACTTTTTCTGATGTTAAATGTATAGTCATTAGTTAATATCTGAGGGGTCTTTTTTAAAAAAAATGTGTTTTACTTCTTTTTTTTTTTTTTTTGAGACAGGGTCTTGCTATGTAGTTCATCAGACTGGCCTTGAACTTAAAATGTAGCCTAGGCTGGCCTCGAACTTGTGGCAGTCCTCCTGGATCAGCCTGCCACATGCTGGGATTACATGAGTGTGCCACCGTGCCTGGCAAGAGATTGGTTCTGAGACACACATCCCTCCCTCACACACACACTGTGCTCAAGACCCTTTCTGTATGTCAGCCGCAAAACTTTTTTTTTTTTTTTTTTTTTTGTTTGTTTTTCTCCGGTACCAGGAACCGAACTCACGGCCTTGCGCATGCCAGGCAGGCCCTTTTGCTGCTGAGCTAAATCCCCAGCCCTGCCGCAAAACTTTTAATGTTGAGTGTGCACCTTCCATGTGCCAGACACCGTTCTAGGTACTGGAGATGCTTCAGTAAACACTAAGTTAACGAAGTAGAGACTTTAATTACATTTCCTCTATTACTATGGCTTCCTCCTCCCACCCTGAAATTTATAATTGTCATCATATTTGTCCTTTTTGCTTTTTTTCTTTTTTGAGACGGGGTCTCGCTATGCAGTTCAGGCTGGCCTTGAGCTCACTTTGTAGCCCAGGCTGGTCTAGAACTTGCAACAATCCTTCCTCAGTCTCCCCAGTGCTGGGATTACAGGTGTGCGCCACCACGCCTGGCTCCTTTTTGCGCTTAAAACATTATTGATAAAGAAATTTTAAATCTTAGATTCTTACAAAAGTTTTACTGTAGTTGCTAAACTTTGTAGAATGCCAGGGTTTTTTGTTTTTGTTTTTTACATACATAAAATGGAAGTATTAATAGAATTAGCAATGTGCCTTTCTTAAAAATACACTATCTGAATATGAAACCTAACTATAAAAATGTAAATAGCCCCAAACACCTAATATTTATTTTCATGTGATGCTAGTCTTGATGGCTTTCGGTTTTCCCATTTTGGAAAATGAGTTCATGTAAATGAACTGCTCACAACAGAACTCCTTCTAATTTTCTCCCCCAGTACTGAGGCTGGAGCCCAGGGCCTTTGTGTTGAACTATATCCCCAGCTCTTTTGTATTTCTTTATTTTGAGATATGGTCTCAGTAAATTGCTAAGTTGCTTGGGCTGGGCTCGAACTTACGATTTTCCTGCCTCATTCTCCCAGAGTCTTGGGATTGCAGGTATGTGCTGTCTGCCAAGTTCACAAAAAACAACTACGCATTTACTGAGTGAACCTGTCCATAGCCCAGACACAGCTTGAATGACCATGTGCGCCCATACCTTTTCTAGACCCATACCTCCAGCATGAACTGCCAGCTCTGTCCCCTGCTGTTGTGGGCCTTTCCCCTTGCTGGTGGTATATAGGCACCAAGAAGCAGGTAACTGATGAAAAAACCATGAACTCCAAAGCTAGAGCTCTGAAAGAAATAAAAGGAGATTGTGTCTGAAACAGCGATGGTTACTTGGGGTGGTTTGAAAGTACTGTAAGTTTAAAATGTTGTGTCATTGGAAAGTGGTATTTTTCATGTTTTTAAATAAATGTAGTAAGTACTTTGGCACTAACACACTTTTACTCTTTCCTTCCAGTTTGTGAAGTGTGGATATGCAGGCTCTAACTTCCCAGAACACATCTTCCCAGCTTTGGTTGGCAGACCTATTATCAGATCAACCACCAAAGTGGGAAACATTGAAATCAAGGTAATATTTTATTTATTGTTAAAATGACTGTTAAGACTTGTGAAATGTTCTCTGAATTAAGTAGTTTTAAAATATGATGCCATGAAAAGCCAAAGGGGAGGGTAGAACTTCTCCTTTTTAATTTATATTAACACCTGAACAAGGGTAAAGTTAGTATCATCTTATTTTATTTATGTATTTCTTAATGCTATTACTACCTGGAGTATAATTTTTTTTGCATTGAATTGATATAAAACACTGAATTAGTACTTGAAGTCCCATTATGTATTTTAGTGTGCAGAAGAAATCAGTGTGGTAATTTTATGTCTCTCACTTTGATATATTTGTCATTATATCTTAGGGTTGCTTTGGGACCTGAGATGTTTTACCCCATGTTTTCATGGCTGACCACCTACATTTTTATGTAGCTAGTAGCTAGTCAGGAAAACACAGAATGTAAATCTCATTGGTTCCTCTTTTCACTAATACAATAACTGCTTTCCATAATGTGCTGAAGCCAGCTGTTCAAATCTTTATTTGGCCTTGTACTGTTTATCTTAGAAAGGAGAGAGCAAGAAAAGTTATCATTGCCTGCTTGCTGTATTTAGCATGAGGAAACTCTACATTATGAATGATAGATTTTTGTCCCACTGGATTAGAAATCAACTGGGAGTTACTTTAGAAGAAAGAAATAGAACACTCAAAAGGACAGTGGTCATCAATTGAGTTTAAATTTTTCAGATGGCCTTGAGATCAAATTATACACAATGCAGTAGAATGTAGGGGGCTCTGAGTGAATTCTTTGTGAACACACTAGCACTGTTGGTTCTATCTGGAGAGTCTTTGACAAGACTTCAGTGAGCTGTTAGATTATGAATTATTTGTACTGTACTTCTTTGGGACATTCCCCCGAAGTGCCGAGGAAAGTAGTAATAGATGGTAGAGATCTACTCTCGGGTCTCTGCTGTTGGGACTAGAGCATTGAGTGGCACAATAAACAAAAATAGAAACTGAAACTCAGGTTCTTAATGTTAATTTTTTAAAGGTTGGAAGTAGTCAGTTCTGGCTTCTTTAAGTGGTAAAAGCAGAAATGGTACATTCAGTATAAGGCTTTTCAAGGCGAACAATCTTTTCTTTCGGAACACTTACGGGATTCCTTTTACTCTTTTTGTGAACACCTTCCGTTCTGATTGAATTCTATCTTAAATGAATTTCAGCTTAAAATTTAGCTAATAATAGTGGTAAGGGCAAACTACTGTTTGGGAATAATATTTTTTACTTAGTGTCTGACTTTTTTATATTCTTCATGGAAAAAATTTTTTTGAGGTACAAAGGTATATCATGCAGAGACATTTTTGTTCTCCAACATGGGCACAGATAATTATATATCTCCCCATGCCTGCTCTCTTGCTTTTTAAGGCCAGGTACTGTTATAAACCTATTGATCCTCTGAGAAGCTATTTTTGCCAAAGAATTCCCTAATAGTACTGCTAATACATTTTGTCATTCTGTGTTCTGTTAGCTCAGTTCTTTGCACTGTGCCCAGTCTTTTAAACCTTTCAAGTTAAATTACTTTTTCCTGTAGAAAATAGTAAGAAAGACCCCTGTCAATTTTAGCTTGTATACTAGTGTTTGGGCAAACAACCCTGAAGTAACTCTCTACCTGCTCAGCTAGACTTGCTGTTTAATGTTTTACTTATTTTTCTTACAGTTCTTAAATTCAGTAATGAATTAAAGAAACTTGACTTTTGGGAATTTCTGTGCTTATAGAATTGACTTGTATTTGTGTGTCTTGTTAGCTAAAATGTGATGGTAGACTAAAAATACGGAAATTTAAATCATTTATTTAGTTATTTTTCATACAGGATTAATGACTGTCCATGTTAACTTGGCCCTAATTATTAACTCCATAAAATATAGTAGTACTACATCTGACCTCAACCTAATTTGTCTCTGTTGCTTGTATGTTTAAACATTTCAGTGAGGATTTATTTAGGCCTTTTCTGACTCTTACTTCTACCTTCTCTTTCTTCACCTTTCTTGACCTGTTGAAGTAGAATAACAAAAAGATGGTAAGTGAGGTTACACACATGCTGTTTGTTTTCCACTTTTGCTTGGTGGGACAGTAGTTGTTGTTTTGTGTCCCTTTAGTAATGGGGAGGGGGGCAATTCCATATTTTTACTTTAAGTGCTTTAATTTTTAACCTTTTTCATTGCTTCAATTTGGTAGCAACTAATTAAGTCCTATACCTTCCTGATTGCATACAATGGACCAAATAAGAACTAATTACTAACATAGTTTTGAATTGTTTTCTTGTTTTTGCTGTAGATGAATGTTACAATTAAAATGGAATGTGGTGTGCTAATATAGAAACCAAGTAGCCTTATGTAAGATATGTGTGATCCAGAAAAATTGGGGTGAAGTTGTTATGTTTGGGTAAATTCACTTTATTGACAGTACTAAATTAAAGCATTGCCTCTCATGTCTTATGTATATATTTGCGTCCATTATGGAACCATATACAGTTACTAAATGAGGTAAATTTTAATATACAGATGTACTATAAATGGAAAAAGAGAAATAAAAGAATGACTTGTTTATGTATCATCCTTACCAATGAGTAAATTGGACAGTATTTTCTGAGAATAAATAAGAAAAAGGTAAATCATTTGTAAGGGTTTCCCATAAACAATAGAAATCTCCCCTCAAATAAATACCATTATGAGGTGCCTTTTTCTTTCCAACTATAAGAGCCTATTGCAGACGTTTGACTCTTCCATTTTTTTCTGATAGTCTTAAGTGTGTCTATAGTAGATATTTTTAAGTTTCTTTAATAGCATTTATAAGCAGTTTTGACACAAACATGAGGCATTTCTAAAGATCTGATCTATTTTAACTAGTAATGATACTTTGTGAAGTTTTATTTTGAATAAAAATATATCTAAACATAGAAATTTTTATATTTTTCTTATAGGAATGATCATGCATTTGTCTTAAAATCCTGAAGAGGTTTTTAAAAGCTCTTATTTATAAAGAACAGTGCAGTCTTAATTTAACAGTTTTTTTTTTTAAGAAATTGCTTTTTAGGGATGTTATTGTAGTTTTTATTTTTTTAGAAATTTTTTTTGTTATTGTAGTTTTTAAATTTGTATTTATTTTCTAATTTGAGGTGACATGGTTCAAAGTGGTTCTTGGCAAATACAACCTATGCTGCCTGCTTTTAGTAAAATATAGATGCCTGACAAACAGTGTCTCAGACAGTTATTTTGGTTTTGGGGATTTTTTTTTTCTTCATTTTTTTCAATTAATAATTTTTCATTCTTTCAATAGGTTGAAGTCCAGCAGTGGAGTAGATAGTAAAGACCTAAGGCTGGATCTGATCATTTGTGACTTGGTTCTGAGGGATGAGAACAATTTGTATAACATCCTGAATGGCTTTTACTTTGGAAAATTGAAGGGAATTTTTTTTTTTTTTTGGTGTGTGTGTCTTTTTCAACCTATTATGTTTTTTCAAAACCATTCTCCTGATCTCCCCCGCTACCCCCAGTACCGGGAATCAAACTCACGACCTCGCGCTTGCCAGGCAGGCACTATGCCACTGAGCTAAATCCCCAGCCCCTTTTTTGTCTTTTTGGGACAGGGTCTCACTATGCAGTTCAGGCTGGCCTTGAGCTCACTTTGTAGCCCAGGCTGGTCTCGAACTCACAATGATCCTCCTGCCTCAGCCTCCCGAGTGCTGGGATTACAGGTGTGCACCACCATGCCTAGCTGGGCACTAGGGAATATTATTTTAGAATTACTGAGAATTTTGTATTTTTAAATAACAAGTGTTAGCTACAGAATTTTTTAAATTGGGTAATTGAATGTCTAATAAAGAAATTTTGCACTTTTCAAATAAATTGATACTTATTCCATTTTACTAAGAATACTCAATGTCAGGCATTCGTTTCTGTTAATCCGTTATAGTATGTTGGACCTACAAGTAGATACATGGGACTTTTTGAGTTTGGGTCAGACATTTGTAAGCCTGTTTTCTTGCATGGCGTAAAAACTATTCTGTCAAAATAAGATTAGACTTATTGTAGACTGGTTTAAATAATACTAGTTTTATAAACCAACTAATTACCTTATCTAACACAAAAGAAGATATATTCATTATAGGGGAAAGTAAGTGACAAGGTAGAGTATTAAATTAGATTCGTTACTGACCAAAAGTTATATAGATTTCTCCCTTAACATTTTATTAAGCAGTGTTTAAAATATATACTTATCGCCTAGATTTTTTTTTTTTTTTTCTCTCGTACCAGGAACCGAACTCACAACCTTGCGCTTGCCAGACAGGCGCTTTGCCGCTGAGCTAAATCCCCAGCCCCTCACCTAGATTTTGACATTAACATATAATACTGATGTAACACATTCTGTCTATCCATCCCATGAAACCATCTTGGTTTTTTTAATGTACAATATTTCAAAGTACCAGTATACTTCTCCCTAAATAGTTCAGCATATGCATGCCTTCAGAAATTCAGATTTTTAGTTCTGTGTTTCCTTCCCCTAAAGATTCTAAGCAGTTAGAAGTTTAAAAATTTGAGTATTAAGTTATGCGAAAATAAACTTTATAAAAAATTCGTTGCAGCAGAAAGTTTTAATGAACATTTCAAGTTTCTGCTCTCACTTTGTTTTCCCTTGTAATACTGCTTTCAGTGGATTTTTCAGAAATCTGTTTTTTAATAGATTCACCGTCCTGGTTTTCCCTGATTTGGGGGTTTTTTTTGTTTGTTTAAAACTCATATATTTCAAATCTCCATTTTAAGTCATCTCATGTTAATTTTCTGCTTCTTTATTTCCCTGTACTTTCAACTTGATATTATAGCAAGTAAGTAGTATCTGCTTCTGATATTTTAAAAACTGAGGCCTGGGGATGTGGCTCAGTAGTAGAGGCCTTGCATGCCCAAGCCCTGGGTTCGATCCCTAGCACCACAAAAAAATTTAAAAATAAAAATTGAGTTTGTCAGCACATAAAGAAATTATTTAATGTCTTGGTTCTCTGGGTTTTAAATAAATTTGAATTCTAGGACACAATTAGTCTTTTACATTTAAAACTTGATTTTTCAGTTGTGGGTCTCTTAAACATGATCTCATTGGAGATAAGAGTTGAGTATTATGCTTCCTATGTGGTAGTACAGATTTCCAGTATTATACTTTAAGATTGCCAACTTGACCTGTAACATAACTCCAGAGAATGAGTTGTTTCATTATTCTTACTTTTTTATATCACTCCAAATTTTCATTCATCCTGATAAGGCATACAGGGTGATCAGAAAATACAGTGCCTATTTACTTTTTGAAAAATTATAAAAGACACATTGCTATTAATTCCTCTCAAACTACTCCCACATGATTCAAATACTCTTGGCAAACGTGTCTTTTACTGTAAGAAGTTTTGTAATTTAAACGTTCCGCTATTTTTGATCACACTTTATGTGTGGAAGTATAAACTAGTTCAGACATGTAGATAGAAGTCTATGAAGTTTATGTTAACTGATACATAATGTATAGAATAAGAGAGTCATTTTCTTTTTGCTTCTTTTATTGTTTTATAGTACTTACATTTATCATTTTAATATTTAGTTCAAAGAAATGTGCTGGATGCATCAAGCATTTTTCTGCAAGATTTTTTTCCCTGATGTACTATTTCACATATCACAGGACTTATTTTTTGAACATTTGAGCAAAAGAAACAGATGAAATCTCATAAAAAACCTACCAAAATATGAAAAGTGGGGTTTATTTGTGTTATTGCTCTTCTTTTGGAAGCGTGTATTAAAGGTAAGGTCAATTTATTGATTTAAACCACATATTACATAAAAATTGATTATCTGTGATTAAACTTCCCAAGACATTTTTCTTGCAAGAAAAGATTTGTACCTTGTGGAATAAAAAACTTTCATGTGAAAGTACCAGGATTAAAATTAATTATTCCCAAATTTTCTGAAATACCATGGGAATATAATTTTCTAAAACTCCTTTATGTAAAAATTTGAGTGGTCTGAAGCTTGGTATTATAATTTTCTAGGATCTTATGGTTGGTGATGAGGCCAGTGAATTACGCTCAATGTTAGAAGTTAATTACCCTATGGAGAATGGCATAGTACGAAATTGGGATGACATGAAGCACCTGTGGGATTATACATTTGGACCAGAGAAACTCAACATAGATACCAGAAACTGCAAAATCTTACTTACAGAACCTCCTATGAACCCAACCAAGAACAGAGAGAAGATTGTAGAGGTGAGTTTTAAGACAAGGTGTGTATCTGTGCATCTATGTAATGTTATGTTGTCAAAACTTTGCTTTTCTTATTCTTGGCTGTGGATTAAGGGAATAAAAATAAGCTATTTATTTTGCATTTGCTATAGGTTGAGCATCCGTAATCTGAAACCTAAAACATTTTGAGTGTTGTCATGATGCTGAGGAAGTTTTAGGTTCTGGAGCATTTTAGATTGTGGCTTTTTAGATTAGGGATGCTTAACCAGTGAAGTCTGTACAAATATTACAAAATCATGAATGCTTTTTAATTCTAGCACTTGGGAGGCGGAGGCAGGAGGATTCTGAGTTCAAGGCTGACCTGGACTGCATAGTGAGACATTCCCAAAAGAAGAAGAGAAACATCAACTGTATGGTTGTATATATGAGACCCAGATCAGGAAAAAAGGATGAGGCTGGAGGCAGAAACTTGAGTCTTCAGGATATAGATAATACTGCTCATCAAAATGTAAGAGTAGACCGGAATGATAAGGCGAAGGACTGCAGAGAGCTAGGCAGAGCCAGCAGGAGATCACAAAGCCTGATGAAGTAAGCAGTTACAGAGGAAGTAGGGAGCAAGAGACTACATTCCTCAGTGTTTAGATAAGCTTTCAAGGCTTTCCTTTTCTTATATATACTACAAGGTAGAAAGTTTGGATAGTTAGCTCTCTAATTAATTTGCATGTAAGTATTTTGTTTTATGAACTTTTTAAAAAAAATTTTTTATTTTTTTAGTCTTTTTGAGACGGGGTCTCGCTATGCAGTTCAGGCTAGCCTTGTCCTCACTTCAGAGCCCAGGCTGGTCTCACAACGATTCTCCTGCCTTAGCTTCCTGAGTGCTGGGATTACAGGCATGCACCACCATACCCAGCTTTTATGAATATTTTTAGATGATGATGGAAGTTACAGAAAGGGTGAGAAGAAACTACTTTAGACAATATTTTAAAAGTCTGAGTTGAAACTCAGGTTTTTCTAGTTTTGGCTTTTTGGTTTGTTTGTTTGTTGTTTTTTTTTTTTTTTTAATTTTGGTACCAGAAATCGAACTCAGGACCTTGTGCTTTCCAGGTAGGCACTGCGCCACCGAGCTATATCCCTGGCTGGTTTTGGCTTTTTGTTTTTATTTTGGTTTTTTTTTTGTGACTGGTTTACATTCTGTTGCCCAGGCTGGCTTGGAATTCCTGGGCTCAAGAGTTCTTTCTGCTTTAGCCTCCCTAGTTCCTGGGTCTATAGGTATGTGCCACTGCACCCAGCTGAAATTTAATTTTTGTATTATGATTTTGGGAATTTTGAAGTCATGCTTTTAGTTACAGAATCAATATATCGCTTACGATTCATATTTTAGTCCTTATTTGTTTGTGAGTGCAAATTTGGCAATTACTGATAATGTTGTACTTTAATCTCATCCAGAAAGTTGTTTTAGTAGTAATGTACTTTAATGGTCTTACAAGTAAGATCAAATTACAACACATTTAGCCGGGTATGGTGGTGCATGCCTGTAATCCAGCACAGTGGAGGCTGAAGGAGGAAGATCACTACAAGTTTAAGGCCAGCCTGGGTACGTAGTGAGTTGAAGGCCAGCCTGAACAGACCCCCTGTCTCCAAAAAAAGAAAAGAAAAATTGTAACAGACTTTTCAAAAAGGTAATACATATATAGTAGTTTCATCCCCATAATGGGAAATTTATTAAGGATAATGGATTAAAATATTAGTTGAATGTCTAGTTAATTGACAAATTTGTATTTCGGAGTTGTAAAACCTAAATTCTGTATAATTCTTGGAATCAGTAATAAAAATTCTAACTATCTGAACGTTCAGAGTGACGGGCAGCCCTACCAGTCAGGGCTGTGCAGGGCTCTGCAGGAGTGCTCACCTGACCCCAGGGGAGGATGGGCGGGGATGCGCAGTGCACCAGAGCCCCTCCCTCCGTGGAGGCTCAGTGGGGTCAGCCTTGGCGGGCGGGGGGCTTGGAACCTAAGGATTTTTATGTCTGCCACCTTGTAAAGTGCTTTGATCTTTGTCTGTACCATCTCATTTTACTTTTGTGTGTGTGTGGCGCTAGGCAAGCACTCTGCCACTGAGCCACATCCCCAGCCCTGCATGTGTTAGCATTCGTTTGTGTTTTTGACTGGAGGGAAGAGAGCCAGACTTGCCGCCCAGGTTGAGGAGAGAAATGGGAGGCAGTGACTGCAGGTTTCGTTTTGTTTGTGGTACTGAGGATCAGAACCAGGGCCACTCTGTGTCTAAGCTACATCCGCAGGGTCTTGCTCAGTTGACGAAGCTGGCTTCTAACTTGCAATCAGCCACTGTGCCGGGCTACAGTTTGTTTTTGAAAGATATTTAGCCTGATGTGGTGGTACACATCTGTGATCCCAGCAGTCTGTAATGCTGAGGCAAGAGGATTGTGGAGGCCCAGGCTCAATCCCCAGTGGCGGGGAAGAAAGAAAGGAGGAAGGGAGGAAGGAAAATCTGCTTTGTAATACTTCTAATTGCTTGGAGACTCAATATGTGTCTGAAAACATGTGCTCAGAGTTAGACCTCTGAGACAGCAGGTCTTCGCAAGAAGAGGTGCTGATCAGAATGGAGGGCTCTTTAGGTCTCTGGTTCTATTTTGGTGAATGTGTCCACTCTCTTGAGATTGACCGAAGCATATACATTTGTATCATGTAACTTTCTAAATGCCATTTCTTTTCTTTCTCTGAATTTTCAGGTAATGTTTGAAACTTACCAGTTTTCTGGTGTGTATGTAGCCATCCAGGCAGTTCTGACTTTGTATGCTCAAGGTGGGTGAAGCTTAACTGTTTCAAAAATTAATTATGTTTTATGCCAGAGAAAGTTGATTTTTTTTTTTTTAATTGTTACAAATCCCAGGAAAGAATGTATGTATGTATTTTTTGAGACAGAGCCTTGCTATGTAGTCCAAGCTGGCCTTGAAATCACTGTCTAGCACAGGTTGGTCTCAAACTTGTGGCGATCCTCCTGCCTCAACCTCTTTAATGCTGGGATTACAGGCGTATTGTCACCATGCTCGGCCACAAGCACAGTATTCATATACCACATTTTGAAATACTTTCAGAATCTCTGTCATTTGTCATTGTGTACATTTTTGCTTTATTAGGCTTTGAGGATTTAAGGTAAAAGAGACATGAATCTTTTGTAGCTTTTTGAGACAGAGTTTCCCTTTGCAGTGCAGGTTGACGTCAAACTCGTGGTGAACCTCCTGGTTCAGTCTCTCGAGTGCTAGGATCACAGGTGTGTGCCGCCATGCCTGGTGCCACACATCTTTTCAAAGTACTGGATATTCCCTCTTTTAAGCTATTTAATTTTTTATCCAATAGAAAATAAACAAGGAATCTGACTTCAGAATTGGCTTCAGTTAAAAAAAAGATCCCAAAAAGTTAGCACAGAATTATGCTTGTCAAATACATAGTAGATTAAGTAAAGGAGAAGATAGACGTTTGGGAGTGCATTCCTAGTTTTGAGGGGAATTTAATGAAAGGATCTTCTGTACTGTGTTCTCTTGGTGTTGCCATTAACATCTGCCTCCTTGTCTACTGGGTATAAGACACTGGCCATGGTGTGCAAAAGTTTTTTGAATTTTGATGGTGTAGGAACTTACTGAGAATTTATGGGGTTGGGAAATGTGCCATGGAATCTTTTAGGCATTTGAAGTATAAAGATACTCTCCAGGAACCTCCATGGGAAAGAAAGATTTTGAAACATAATTTGATTTAGCAGGTCAGAGAACCTTCTTGAAGACGGCACTATCTAAGCTTAGTCTCAAGTCTTATTAGTGTGTTTATGACAAATATGAAGTTTTTTTTGTAATTGCTTTGGTTGGTTCTTTTATAACTTTAAGAACTTAATTTTATAGCGAGCTGATTCTACACATAGATTCATATAAAAATCCTCAAAATAGATAGTGGGTTAAAAAATACCTTTTGCTGGGTGTGGTGGCACATGCCTATAATCCCAGGGCTCAGGAGGCTGAGGCAGGAGGATTGTTGTGAGTTTGAGACCAGCCTGTGCTACAAAGCGAGCTCAAGGCCACCCTGAACTGCAGAGTGAGACTCTGTCTCAAAAAGGAAAAAAAAATAAAGAATATCTTCAGCTCTACGTGTAGATACCTAGAAGAGATGTTTTATTTTGTTTTTCCTTTTATCTTTTTGAGATAGGGTCTCATTATGTAGTTCCGGCTGCCCTTGAGCCACTTTGTAGCCCAGGCTGGCTTAGAACTTGCAACAGTCCTCCCGCCTCTGCCTCCGGGGTGCTGGGATTACAGTCGTGTGCCACCACGCCTATAATTGTTTGGAGAGAACAATCTTGCTATATAGTCCAGGCTGACCTTGAACCTCACTACATAGCATAGATGGCATCAAACTTAGCAATGAACCTCCTTCAGCCTCCCCAGTGCTGGTATTACAGGCATGCACCACCACTTGGCTGGGCATTAAATTTTTAAAGAAATGTATTTATTCGCCAAATGGGGCTTGCATTCTGTTTTGTATTAAGGATATAACAGTAGGGTAAAATCTCTTTGCCCTTAAAGTTATTGTAGTCCAGTTGGGCAGGGTAGCACACACCTGTGACCTCAGCTACTTTTGGGAAGCTTAGGCAAGAGACTCATGAGTTTGAGGTGGGTTTGGGCTACCCAATGAGATGCTGTCTCTAAAAAGCAAAAAATAAAAAGGACTGGGGATACAGCTCAATGGTAGAGGACTTTCATAGTATGTAAGGGCTTGAGGTTCAACCCCTAGTCCTGCAAAAAAGAAAAAAGAAAGGAAGAAAAGAAAAGAAAAAAGATGATTGTCCAGCTGTAATTTTTCTTTTGGAGAATGAAGCAAAACTCAGTTATTTTAGAAGGTGGGAGGGAGTGCTTATACGTTTTACATCTAAGTAAATATTTCTCTTTTGCCATACTGGGGATCGAAACCAGTGAGTACTGAGCTACGTGCCTAGTCCTTTATTATTTTTGGTTTTTTTTTTTTTTGGTTTTTCTCTGGTACCAGGAACTGAACTCACGACCTTGCGCTTGCCAGGCAGGCGCTTTGCCGCTGAGCTAAATCCCCAGCCCCTAGTCCTTTATTATTATTGGCAAGCATCTCAGTAAGTTGTTCAGGCTGGTCATGAATTTTGTGATCTTCCTTCCTCAGCCTCCCAGGTAACTGAAATTTGATATGTAGCCACCACATGTGGCTTCAGAATTTATTTTGTACATAGTACTTGGGGGAAAAATATATTTAAAATTTTTTAAATTTTTTATTTTTGAGACAGGGTCTTGCTACAAAGGTCAGGCTGGCCTTGAGCTCACTTTGTAGCCCAGGCTGGCCTCAATCTCACTGATCCTCCTGCCTCAGCCTCCTGAGTGCTGGGATTACAGGTGTGAGCCACCCCCATTCCACCCCCAACAGTGATTTAAAAATGTGTGTTTAGCTGTCTAGGGCACACAGAATTAAAGAGGGAATAAGTAGAATTGGGAAAACTGGGTTAGAGGTTATAGTGGTTAGAGAAATTAGAAATAGAAAGACAAGAATCCCATTAAGCCCTAAAAGAATCAGTAGGATAAAAGTGGAAGGAAATGGAAATGCAGTGACAGAGGGGGTGGCCCTGGGAGTGAATCACGTGTGTTCAGAGAAGGGCCAGCATGAGGTGTACAGGAGAGGTAGGAAAATAAGGGGAGCTGGATGGGAACGGTGTTTGGGAAATACTTTAGTTGGTGAGACTGGGAGTATTTTTTAAATAATTGTGATACAGATGCCTTATTTTTATTGCAGTGGACATGAAAAATAATACCGATTTAAAATAGAGATCTGAATAAATCTTTAAAGACATTAGATACTAAAATGTATTGTCTTGGTTACTTTTCTCTCGTTCCTGGGACAAAATACCCAACTCCCAAAATGAAGGAAGGAAAGGTTTATTTTGCTTACAGTTTGTGGAGGTTTCAGTCCATACTTGGCAGGTTACAAGGCAGAGTGGCACATGGCAGAGGGCTACAGCTCATGGCCGCAGAACACAGCAAAGCAACAAACCCACACAAGGGAGGAATGGCCCCAAGCAGCCTCTTCCTCTCCCTGACATATGCAAACTATCCACCCCAGGGCGGGTGCAGCTCTCACACCCATAATCAATCAAACTTTAAAAGCCTGCCCCATGGCCGCATGAGGCTTTGTGGACACACAGACACAAACCATAACATGTATGTAAATTTTTATTAAGAAAAGGGAGAATGCCTATTCGGGGATAAGAAAGTGAGGAAATAAGTTATAAACGGTGCATATTCCAGTTAAATTTTTTTTTTTATTAAAAATGCAAGTCAGGGGCTGCAGATTTAGCTCAGCAGCACAGCACCTGCCTGGCAAGCATGAGGTCATGAGTTCGATTCCTGGTACGGGGGGGGGGGATAAATAAATAAATAAAATAAAAATGCAAGTTAGAAAAAGTTTATTTTTCCCCAAATTAACCCTGATGCAAAAAAGTGAAACATCAACTTTTTGCAGCCATTTCTCCTTTTTCAGTAGCACACACAGGAAGCAAGGCAACTTTTTTGCTGTTCTTTAGTTGCAGAGTGTGTGGGGGTTTTTGTTGTTTTTTGTTTTTTTAAATGGAGTGTCACTGTGCAGTTCAGGCTGACCTTGAGCTCACTATGTAGCCCAGGCTGGCTTCAAACTCATAGCAATCCTCCTGCCTCAGCCTCCGAAGTAGTGGGATTCCTGGTGTGCGCCACCACCCCTGGCTGTTTTGGATGAATAACTGAAGTGATACTTGGGCAAGATTATTGTTGTCCAGTTTTTAGCTATCTAGTATCAGTAGACATTTTCCCAGAACAGCGCAGATTTTTAATTATACTATGTGACAGAAAGAAAGAGCTAGATAATTTGAACAGATTTATCAACTTGTAATACTTTTCACAGTTTTTGTAAAAGCTATCTATGGAATTTTAGAAAACTTCACTTTAAAGAAAGTGATCAAAATTAAATTGGAAAGAAGAAAAAAGAATTGTACCAGTTTTCAGCCCTTGGTCTCAGGGACCATTTCTCCACATCTCCTTGGAAGCACAGGCTCAGCCTAAGTCTCACAGGTGGCACCCAAGAGGACTATAATATCTGTGCATTAGACTTTATCTGTGTGTTAGAAACAGATTGACAGATTGCCGCCGGGGATACAGCTCAGTGGCATAAGCACCTGCCTGACGAGCACAGAGTTCTGAGTTCAGTTCCTGGTATCAAAAAAAAAATCACTTTGTAAACTATAAAAATGTAATATGAGAGTTAATAAAAAGCCTTTAAAAAAAAAAGATACAGATTGCAAAAGTAAGTAAATAGTAAGAAAGTACATTTTCTAGGTTGGCTCCAGTAGCACATTAGCAACTCGCCGGCTTGGTTTTCCAATTTGACTTTCTCCTGAAAATGTCCTGGTCTCATGTAGGTTTACTGACTGGTGTCGTGGTGGACTCTGGAGACGGGGTGACTCACATCTGCCCAGTGTACGAGGGCTTTTCTCTCCCACATCTTACCAGGAGACTGGATATCGCCGGCAGGGATATCACCCGGTATCTCATCAAGGTGAGAGAAAGGTTTGGTGGGGAAGGTGTCTTGTGTGGATTGCCGCACAGCCTCTGGGGTGCAAATGAGAGCCCTTCATCTGCTGCTGCTCAGAAGTGCTAGCTGTGGTTCCCATTGGATTGCATGTGGCTTTTACCTGCACTTGGGGTTAATTCTCATTATCATCATGTAGGGAGATAATGAGAATTACAGTCCAGTCTATGGCCACACCACCCTGAATGCGCCCAATCTTGTCTGATCTTGGAAGCTAAGCGGGATTGGGCCTGGTTAGTACTTGGATGGGAGAGAATTATAGTACAGTACTCCTACTCGAGCCCAAAAATCTGTCTGAGGTAACCAGAGAGTTTCTGCAGAGCGTGCAAACATTAGGGGAGTCGTCTTTTTCCTTTTTTAACAAAAGGCCCAGTTATGTTCACAGTGTTATGCCGTTTTCTTTCAGAAGGGCTGGTTTTAAAATAACATTTTCTATCATTTAAAAAATAAAAGAGTTGGGTATGGTAGCACATGCCTGCTACCTTAGAAGGCTGAGGCGGGAGGATCCCTCGAACCTAGAAGTTCAAGGCCAGCCCAGGCAGCACAGATGAGACTAGCTTTAAAAATGAGAATAGATGGATAGGAAGGAAGGAAGAGAGAAAAAGGAGAGGAAGGGAAAGAGCAAGCAAAACAGAAAGACTAGGGACTGTATCTTCAAGTATCCTAGTTCTTTTATTTAGTTGTTTAATACAGACCTGTGGGTATTCCATCAATACGGCATTGGTTGAATGAGCAAATTGTAGGCTACACATGTCTACTGCTAGCATAATACTCATTCATCAGTGTACTTTTTATTATTTATACTGTCTAAACATTAACATGCAAACGATACTCTTAAAAACGGGGTTTTTTTCTGGGTTGTTTTCCACATTTATTATTCACAAACTGTTAATTCTCTTATGCGATAAAACTGAAATGCAAATCCTTTTATGACAAGTAAAATCCCCACCTCTGAACTATCCAGTAGGAGCAGAAGATACACTACTCATTGTACTAATGGGACATTTTAAATGAGCACTAATAGCTCTTGTGGAGTGGAACTCATTTAGATATACTGTGAACTTAACTGCTGCTTTTTGTCCTAGCTGCTCTTGTTGCGAGGATACGCCTTCAACCATTCTGCTGATTTTGAAACAGTTCGCATGATTAAAGAGAAGCTGTGTTATGTGGGGTATAATATTGAACAAGAGCAGAAACTGGCCTTAGAAACCACAGTGCTGGTAGAGTCTTACACAGTAAGTATATCCAGTGTGTGATATATGAATATTTGGTTCAACACGTTCATGACAGGGCTGTAATTCATTTCTCTCTGCTGGGTGTGATACCTGCGTGACTGTCCCATGCATGACTGCACCACTTCTACCCCAGTGATACAAACTGCCCGATGGGCAGTCAGGTGTGTACCACCAGTAGCTCATGCCAACGGGAACATGTTAAAAATGGACATCTGTCATTATTAGTGTCTGCTTAAAGACCTTTTCTTAGAATCAGTCTTTAGTTTTTATGGCGCTGGGGGTTGAACCCAGGACCTTGTGTGTGCTAGGCACACACTGTACTACTAAGCTAAATTGCTAGCCCGTGGAATCAGTATTTCTGTTTCAGGTTGTTATAACATGTTTTATGTGTGTCTTTATATTAAGATTCTATGATTTAATTATTTTTGGAACTGCATAATGTAAGTTAAGGCAAGAATCACAAAGTATTTCTACCTTAAAATATAATTAGATTTATTATTTTGAGATTCTAGAATCTGGGTAGTATTTCTCAGCATATGTTTTACAAAGTGATTATTTCCCTGACATGTTAAGAGTTTCACAAAATTAAAAAGAGTTAGAGTTACAGTTACCAGGTAAATTAGGGAGATGATTGATTTCACTTGCCTGCAGGACTTCTCAGATCCTTTGATATGCTAATATGTACTCAACTGAGAGACTACAGTATGCCTATTTCTTTTTGGGGAGGAGGGTACTGGGAATTGAACTCAGACCTTGCACTTGCCAGGCAGGTGCTGTGCCACTGAGCTGTATCCCCGGCCCTATTTCTTAAACTTGGTAAACTACAGGACTTTTCAGAAATAGGCCTAGTGATTTAGGAAACATACTTTGGGAAGTAGTCCTGTCAGAGTATTGCTTTACTAATTCAGTAGGTGGCAGCCTTTCCTGACTTAATATTTTCTTAATGAGGTGTTCACAACAAATACTAACCTCAAATTGTTTTTCGTTTTTTGGTTTTTTTCCGGTACCAGGAATCGAACGCACAACCTCATGCTTGCCAGGCAGGCACTGTGCCGCTGAGCTAAATCCCCAGCCCCTAACCTCAAATTGTTAACTGAGACTTGATTTAGTTATTACTAAAATGAAAGAGTAATAAACAATAAAAGCAAGATTTTTGGTTTTTGCTTTTTTGAGACAGAGTCTCACTGTGTAGCCCAGGGTGGCCTCAAACTTAGACGCTCCTCCTGCCTCAGCCTCCTGAGTGCTGGGATTGCAGTATTCTTAAACTGTATGACCCATGTTAGTTTTACATATTCACAAATATGTGCAAAATGGCAATTTAAATTTTTTTCTATTTTTATTTAGTTTTTGGTGGTGCCAGGAATCTGAGTTTGCAGGCATGCTAGGGAGGTGTTCTACCACTGAACTGTATCCCCTGCCCCAAATACGTAATCATTTTTCAAGTAATGGTAATTTCTTTAAAGGTATCAGTCTGAATACACAACAGAACTCACTCTGTAACTTGATGCTTTCCAGTTTGCCTTGGACTGTCCAAAGCTTTCTCCACAGTTTCTAACTTTCTAATTTTCCACATTCTTGAACTATTTGGAAGAAATAGCAGACAATGAGAGAAGTGAAAACATAAAACATGTTATTTCTTCCCTCCTTTCTCTAACAATACAAAAATACATACACGCATGAGACCGCAGGCCAATGGGCGAGTGCAGGTGAGGGTGACCGACATGGGAGAGGAGCTAGAAACAGCGCAGTTCATGTGAAGGGCATTCTTGAATTTCAGAAAAACGTGATTCCTTATATGTATCTTCAAACAGTCTCAGCAGGCGTGGAGTCTGTTTTAAGGAACATGCTTTTGTGATACTTTGTCATACTGGAAATACAAATATTACAGAATATTTAATTAAAATTTTATGTTTATAAGTGATTACTGTGAGCAATGTTAATGTAAAAACATTCTCGTATTTCATATAGAAATGTGTCAAAACATATGTAAAATGTTATTTCAGTCAGTCTAGTGAGTGGTGAGAGGGAGCTTAACATAGGTGTTTCTACATAATACTTGTCTTAATTAAATGGGAACACAACACGAACTGTTTTCCATCTGGGTCATGTTACGATGTTGGAACTGCGGTTGCTTGCTTGCTTGCTTGATTTTTTGACACAGGGTCTTGCTGTGCAGTCCAGGTTGGCCTTGGGCTCACAGCAGTCCTCCTGCGGTGATGAGAGCCTGGCGGTGGCAGTGCTGCTGCCCCTGCCCCGCGTGTGCGTGTGTAGTGTCATGGCACAGGCCTTGGTGATTGCCCTGTGAATTACACTCATACACAGCATGGAGCTCAGTGTGTTACTGGAATATATTTTATTTTACCTTTGTTTTCCACTGAAATATTTAGCGGGAAAATTACTGCTTTTAGTGTTTTTTTTTTTTTTTTGGCTGTAGAAGAAAAGTGCTAAGATGTTTTCAAGAACACAGAAGTTTGAATAGTTCTTACTGACTGGTACGTGGTTATTCTTCATTCCTAGCTCCCAGATGGACGAATTATTAAAGTTGGGGGAGAGAGATTTGAAGCGCCAGAAGCTTTGTTTCAGCCTCACTTGATCAATGTTGAGGGCGTTGGCGTTGCTGAGTTGCTTTTTAACACAATCCAGGCAGCTGATATTGATACCAGGTACGAAAGACATGGTGGTTTCTCAATTGTTTATTAGAGAAAATGGAACATAAATAATTCCTATGAGCAAGTTACCCGTTACCTCGTGTGTTTTTGGTTAAAGCAAAGTAAGTTCCGTCGTGTTTGCACTGCAGCATTGGGCCTTTGCCCGGAGCTGTGCCGGTAGCCTCATTTGTGTGTCCGAGAGGGCATCTCCCTGAGCTGCACGCAGACCTGCAGAGCGCTGGGTGCTGAGGCTGTCAGTGCGCACCCTACACCTGACTACAAAACACGCCCTCCCAAGGCTGCTCCTGGATGTTATGGAACCCGAGTTACACTGGTCTCAGAAGCCACTTTAACCTTACTTTGAAGTAATTTCAAATCTAGAGAGAAGTGGAAAGAGTAATTTAGGAACCTCATATATATCCTTTTATTTAATTTCACCATTTTACTAATTATAATGTTCTGTGTATTTATCAGTTTCCATTTTTTTTCTGAACCATTTGAGAGTAGGTTGACTATCAGTTTTCCTTAGGAGTTTGTGTTTCTAAGGAAGAAACACATAGTTGCAGTGTAGTTACTGAGGTCACATTTGTTACTGATATACTTTTACCTACCATCCATCCCATTTCATCCATTGTCTTTTTTTTTTAAGAGGGAGTCTTGCTATGTATTTCAGGCTGGCCTGGAACTCACTGTGTAGCCCAGGTTGGTCTTGAACTTGTGGCAATCCTCCTACCTCAGCCTCCCGAGTGCTGGGGTTACAGGCGTGTATTACCATGCCCGGCTCCTCTTGTGTCATCCATGCAGTCTTTCTTCTGTTCCATGTAGGATCAGATCTCCAGGGTTTAAGGTTTACATTGTATTTTGTCCTGTCTCTTAGCCACTTTTTTTTTTTTTTTTTTGGTAGTGGTACTGGTAATGATTTAACCAGGGCCTTTGCACACAGCTGCATCCTGCCTTGCTACACTTTTTTTATTTCTAATTTTGAGGCAGATCTTACTTAGTCACTGAGTTGCCCCAGCTTAGCTTGTCCTTGTGATTCTCTTGCCTCAGCCTCCAGAATTCTGGGCCTTCTCATTTTTATTTGGAGACAGTCTTGCTAAGCTGGGCGCCTTTTATCAGGTGTATTTTTTTCAGTCCTTCATGACTTTGACATCTTCACAGAGCACAGAGCAAGTATCTTAAGGGTTTTAATTTGGCTTTGTTTTCTCATAACGGCGTTGAGAGGATGCACTTTGGCGGGAATACCGCGTGCTGTCTTCTCCGGGTGTCACACCCGAGGTGACGGCTGTTTCTTATCAGTGATGTTAGATTACATTCAGAGAGTTCACGGTTTTCCACAGTACAGCTTTACTACTTCTCTTTTCCTAGTTACTGTGTAATGTGGAGAAATACGTTGAGAGTATGTAAGTGCCCTATTCCTGATCACAATCCCTCCCTTCTGCATCCATTCATGATCCCTACTTCAATCCATGTTTATGGTTAGGGCTACAGAAAGTATTTGTTGGGTGTATATATTCTCGGAGAGAAGCTATTACATCAGAGGATAAATGCATTTGTTGTTGTTATTCTTGGGTTACTGGGATTTCAATCCAGGGTCTTGCTTAGTTGTCCAGTCTGAGCTGGAACTTGCAGTCCCCTGCCTCAGCCTCTCAGAGTACTGGGATTACAGATGTACACCAAAAGAAAACTTTAATTGACAAATTAAATTGTGTGTGCTTGTGGCATACAACATGTTTTGGAATATGTGTATATATTGTGGAATGAATAGATCGAGCTAATTCCTTGATAAGCAGTTTCTGTAGTGAGAACACTCACTGGTTTTTAGGTGTCTCGCAGAATGTTAGATAATCACTGTGCTGTGCATTAGAGCTCTGAAGCTTTTTCCTCTTAACTGAAGTTTTGCCTCCTTTGACAACATCTCTCCACTTTTACCCCAGCCCCTGGGAATCTACCACTCTACCTGGACTTCTCATATAAGAGATGGTGCAGTATTTCTCTATTTTTTTTTGAGCAGTGGGTACCAGGAATCGAACTCACGAGCTTGCGCTTGCCAGGCAGGCGCTGTGCTGCTGAGCTAAATCCCCAGCCCCTGTTTTGCTTTCTGGAGACAGGGTCTTGCCTCAAAGCCTTGCCAGGGTGGCCTCAAACTCAGTCCTACACAGCCTCCCAAATGCTGGGATTATAGGCATGTGTGAACACACCCATATGTCTCTTCCTTTTTAAGGCTGAGTAATAGTCCATTGTGTAGATACCATTAAACTGATTTCAAATCCTGTGGGCATATGTTTAGTAGTAGATTGCTGAATGTGCTATAATCCTATTTTTTATATTTTGAGGGACTTTCTTTTTTGGGGGGGTCTGCTGGGAATCAAACTCGTAACTTTGTGCTTGCCAGGTAGACGCTGTATCACTGAGCTAGGTCCCCAGCCCTTGAGGGACTTTCATACTGCTTTTCTCTCCTCCCCTCCCCTTCCTTTCCCTCCCTTCCCCTCCCTTCTCTCTCTCCCTTTCTTTCTTTCTGTTTCTTTTCTTTTCCTTTTCTTTTCGTTTTGTTTCTTTTCTTTTCTTTCAAGACAGGGTATCACTGTGTGGGTCAGGCTGGCCTCGAATGCCTGACCCGTCTTGAGTGCCAGAGTGATCCGTCGGAGTGATCCTCCTGCCAGAGCCGTCTGAGTGCTGAGATTACAGATGTGCACCACCGCGCTTGCGTTTTCCTTTTTCCATATTCTGAGGATTGCATTCAGGACTTGTGCATGTTAGGCCAGTTCTCTACCACTGATCGGTACCCCCAGGCCCTCATACTGTTTTTCTTAATGGCTGAATCCATGTATATTCCCATCAGCAGCATACAGGGGTTCCCTTTTCACTATGTCCTCACCAACACGTGGCTTCCCTGTTTGTAATAACCATTCTAAGTGGGTGTGGGGCACACACTTGTAATCTTGGCCCTAGGGAGACAGGCAGGAGGATCGCCACAAGTGCAAGGCCAACCTGGGCTACACAGTGAGTGCAAGGCCAACCTGAACTACATTCCGAGACCATGTTAATAGTAGTAGTAGTAATAATAATGATAATAATGCCATTCTAATAGGTGTGTAGTGTTATCTCATTGTGGTTTAATTTTCTTTTTCTGATAATTAAAATTTTTATCATATAGCAGTGCCATTTGTATGTTTTTGTTTTTGAGAAATGTCTCTTCAGTTCCTTTGCCTATTTTTTAATTGGTTTATTTTCTTAGAGTTCCGTAATTAGAGTTCCTTCTGTGTTTCGGATATTAACCCTTTATCAGATACGTGCTTTGTAGGTCTTTGCTCCTGTGTGTGGCCTCTTGGCTGTGTCTCCTGTGCTGGGTGGTTTTTTTCCAGTGTCAGTGCATGTGTTTCTGTGAGGTATCACCAGCACCTCTCTCGGGGAGGTGTGCCCTTTCTCCACCCCCAGGTAACAGAGGAGGGTCCTTGTGGGCCCATAGCCTGCCTTGTTGGAAGTTTTGTCAAGTTCATTACTTCTTTATCAATCTGCTAAGTGGGAAATTGTCTCAGTGTAGTTTTAGTTTTCATTTCTATGTTAAGAGTGAAGTTGAACGTATTTTTATATGCTTTCACAGACCACTTTTGAGAGAGAGACCACGAATGCATTGTCTCTTCATTGCGTCGCTTTGTTTGTTTGTTTTTCTTCCAGCACCAGGAATCGAACTCACGACCTTGCGCTTGACAGGCAGGTGCTGTGCCGCTGAGCTAAATCCCGAGCCCCTTCTTCATCGCTTTTGCCTGTTCTTTTTTTTTTTTGGTACTGGGAATCGAACTCAGGACCTTGCACTTGCCAGGCAGGCGCTTGTGCCTCTGAGCTGTATCCTCGGCTTGCCTATTCTGTAGAATTTAATTTTGTCTTTTTTTTTTTTTTCCAGTGTTCAAAATTTTGTCTTTTAGCTTTGTGGTATCTGTTACAGATATTTTCTCACAATTTTGTTATTTTGTCTTTTGCTTATGGTTTTTTTGGCCATGTAAAAATTTGTTTTAATTTAGTTGTATAAAATGATTTGCTGGGCATCATGGACTGTGCCTATAATCCCAGCACTGAGGCAAGAGGATCATTTCGAGTTCAAGGCCAGCCTGGGTTACATAGTGAATTCAAGGCCCCCCTAAACTATATATGAGACCCGATCTTAAAAAACAAACAAAAAGAGATTTATAATATTTTCATTGCATCCAGAGCTTGAATCGGTTCGAAAGTGTCCCGATACCCCTGTTATAGAGAAATTCCCCCCAAAGTATTTTGTGTTTGTTTACCTAAGCCTGAATTAAATAACCACCCGATTACTTTTGGTGGGATGGTTGTGGAGCCAAGGTAATAATAGAAATTAATAAAAATAATAGTTACTCATAACAAACAATAAACCCAATAGAAAATAATAAAAAACTGAATCTAGTGTTCATGACTATGGTAAATTGTTCATGGTGGGAATTTAGGTGGTTTCGTCTCTTTGTTTAATGTTCACTAACAGCAGCAGCAGTTAAAAGTGTGTGGCTGTTGGTGATTGCAGTTTCGGCATTGCAGAAGCACCGGAGTCAGGCTCGGTGCCCTCCCCGCAGAGGTTGCGTAGGAAAGTGGCGCTGCTCGGCGTTCATTTTGTGTGTTCCCATGTTGAAGACACATACAAACATTTTGTCTTCGTATTGCATGTAGCCACACTTCCTGCTTGGCGTACGCCACCTTCGCCACAGTTAAATACAAAAACAGTAGAATGTAGGGTTGTAGTAGCCTTAGCCTTTGAGGCCTTAAAGAAAGTGGAAACTTAGCAACCAGTCTGAGTTGTGTAGCACTGATGTTGTTAGCTCCTGAACTTCACTGTGAGATTTCCTCAGATCCTCACTCCTGTTACTTTTATTACTTGTGCAGCTGTTTTAGAGTAGGCTTTCTGGTGTCCTAGCCAACAGTATATTTAAGGAAGAAAAATGGCACTGACAGAAGAAGAAACACATCATTCTAGCCAAAAATAACAGCAGATAGCCTCAAAGCAAAGGAACAAAAGAGAAGCTACAAAAAGTAGAAAAATTGAGAAGTCAAAGAAGTATATGTGTAAACAAACATATTTCCATTGCTCCAGGGAAGCACTGTGATAAGGGCGAAATGTGAAAGTTCATAGCGTAAACTTTTGTCAAATAAAAGACTCCATTGCCGAATGTGGTGGCCCTCGCCTGTAACCCCAGCACTCAGGAGGCTGAGGCAGGAGGATCGTTGCAAGTTCAAGACCAGCCTGGGCTACACCATAAGCTCAAGGCCAGCCTGAACTGCATAGTGAGACCCTGTCTCAAAAAGACTCCCATAATTACATCTGTGAGAAAGTATGTCATATACTATTAGAAGCATTTTAATCCAAAGTATAAAAAAAATTTATCTGTAGAGGAGTAATAGCAAACATTTAGACCTATGAGTGAGGTCTCCACCACCACAGCCCTCTGAGGCTAGCATAAGTAACAGTGACCCTGGGGGTGGGGGGTTGGGAAGGCTGAGACATGAGGATCACTTGAGCCCAAGAGTTTGAGACCAGCAGAGTGAGACCTTGTCCCTAAGAAAAATTTTAAGAAAATAAGTAACAGTACCTCTGAGATAAAATAACTGTTGTATTCCCCTAGATCTGAATTCTACAAGCACATTGTACTTTCTGGAGGATCTACTATGTACCCTGGCCTGCCGTCACGGTTGGAACGAGAACTGAAACAGCTTTACCTAGAACGAGTTTTAAAGGGAGATGTGGAAAAACTCTCAGTGAGTAACCCTAATCCAAAATTCTTTTAAACCCCTGTAACTTGTGACTCTTGACTACCACTAGAGGGAGCAAGAAGTCTTCCTAAACACGTTCCTACTACTGTGCGTAAGCATGGCCTGGGAGCGCTATCCCCTGGTCAGGGGTGCAACCAGGGGACCTCTATTCAGCGGATGGAGGTGGGTGAGTCGAGCGTGCCTCTGGAAGCCTGGGACAAGCCTGCTGTGCTGTGGATGGAGAAATGCCCAGTACTGGGCTGTTATTTTGTTCGATGATTTTTCTGTTTAAACTTTTTTTTGGAACAGGGAGTTAAACTCAGGATCTTGTGCCTGTCAGGCAGGTGCTCTGCCACTGAACTACATCCCCAGCCCCTGTTTAAACTTTTTGGATATGCAATCAGTATTCAGCACTACTCTCAGTCTGTCTTATAATTCTGACTTTAGGTTATTTTCCTGGATATTTGTTGCCTGTGTCTTAGCTTCCTAAGACATGTGTCCAGTTCTTTTGCACCTCTGTAGCTATCGTAGCTGTTGAAACTTCAACTAGAAACTGCTGGCGATTCTTTCTGGCAGGGTTTCCCCAACTCCCAGCTCTGGGCCGTGTGAAACACACTGCATGTGCTGTGCACTCAGCCGAGAGTCTTCTTGTCTTGAGTTAGCCTCAGCTTTGTCCCGCTGTCTTTCGTCAGCCGTTACAGATAATGCAGTTGCACATTATGAAGTAACAAATGCTTTGGACACACTGATGTTACGTCTTTCGTATGTGACTCAGGTTACTGAAATGACATTGCGTATGGGCCCCTCAGATACATTAAACAAGCTAATAACTGGAAAGGGGCCACATTGTCTAAGTACTCCACTCGTTTTTCTGGCTTTATTGAATTCTAATTTAAAATCCATCTGAGGTGATCATTTATTCAGCAGCCCTTTTTCCCCTGCAATGTTGGGGGTTGAACCCATTGCCTGGCACATACTGGGGAAACCTGCCACTGAGCTACATGCCCAGTCCAGCAGGTGTTCGTCAAACTCTATCTGGGTGCCAGCCACGGTCCAGGTGCTGGGGACAAACAGAACTGATAAAACCCTGCTTTGCATCTAAACAGTGTATCAGTAGTGATAAGTAGTATGAAAAATAAAGTTAGACGCTAGAAAATGGTGGTGGGGCAGGTGGTGTGCTTCTTAATGGCCCTGCGGTCAGGAGAGACTTGTCCAGTGAGGCAGCTTCCATTCAGAGACCTGCTTCTAGTGACACCGCAGGGGACTGTTTTCTTTGAGACAGGGTCTCGCTCTGTAGTTCAGGCTGGCCTTCAGCTCACTATGGAGCCCATGCTGGCCTCAGACTTGCAGCAGCTCTCCTCCCTGAGCCTCCTGAGTGCTGGGATTGCAAGCATGTGCCACCACTCCCAGCAAGATGTTGAGTTTCTTTTCTTTTCTTCCTTTTTTCTTTTTTCTTTTTTCTTTTTTTTCTTTGCTTTTCTTTAATAAAAGAAAATTTATTTAAAGGTAGGGAAATGGGGGAAGAGAAAGATGACAGCTACCCGGGATGAGTAGGGAGTATGTGAAAGTGAATTACTCTAAGATGTTGCATTCCTTTCCTGTCTTTCCAAAGTAGAACTGATAACCCAAGTTGGTTGGCGTTTTGCCAAGTGAATGTAAGGGGGAGCTAGGACAGAGTCACCAGGGCCGGTGTCAGGAGTAGTGGAGTGGAAAGAAGCATGCAAACCAAGAGTAGGTATGAGAAGAACCTGGAGATCTGTGGATGCGCACAGGATCCCGAGATGCCGTTGGCAAGGAGCGGCGGTGGGGGAGTAGTGAGAGGGTGCACTGCACGCAGCCCTGCGTCCTGGGAGGCGGGAAGTAGAAGCAGCAGTGAAGAACAAAAACCCTGGGTCCTCCCTTCAGGGCAGGGGGCAGTGTGAAGGAGGAGCAGGGGCCAGCTGAGAAAGCTGCAGGGGCGGCAGTGGCTTGGGAGGAGAGGGCTAGGGTGACTTCCCTCAGGGAAGCGGGGTACACATGGCAACCCCTATGACGTTTATTGGAGCACACCAGGCCCATTTGTTTACATAGTGTCATCCATTGTCACATACTGTTTCTGGCTACTTCCAACTACACAAGGGTTTTTGTAGCTTCCAGAGACCCTAAAAGCCTCAAGTATTGTCCGGCTTTTTATAAAACACCTGTGCAGCCCTACCTAAGAGCAGAAAAGTAACTGAGACAATTAGGGCAGGAAGTTGGCCTCAGAACTGACAAATACGTAAACTGGTGTTTTCCCATGTCATAGATTATCAGATCCCTACAATTTGTTTATGTAACATAAACACATAAATTCAGAATGGAATAGCAGGATTTTTGACATGAAATAAAAACTGCAGTGTTATTTTAAGGTTTCTCTTTCAGATTTTGACCAACCCTCCAGATTAGGTTGTATCTTCTTAGACAATAATAGCTACAGAGTATAAAATCTTTCCCAGTCAGGCATGGTGGCTCAAGGCGGCAGTCTCAGCACATTTGAGGCTGAGGCAGGAGGATCGTTGCAAGTTCGAGGCCACCCTGGGCTACAAAGTGAGCTCAAGGCCAGCCTGAACTGCATAGCGAGACCCTGTCTCAAAAAGACAAAAAAAAAAAATCTTTCCCAATTGTCTTTTTTTTTTTGATAATGGGAATCAAACTCAGGACTTAGCACTTGCCAGGCAGATGCTGTGCCACTGAGCTGTATCCCTGACCTCCCCCAGTTGTCTTTAATTTTAGTTGCTATGTTCATTTTCTTCAACGTCCCCATGATTTCTTTTGACCATATTTGGCTTTTTTATTTTGAGAACATTTCATGCATTTGAGACAGTAGAAAATGAACTTTGCTTATAAGAAAAGCACTTTAGGACTGGGGATGTAGCTTAGTGGTAAGAGTCCATGCATGGCGTGTATAGGTCCTGGGTTTCGTCCCCAGCACCACAAGAGAAAAAAGAAGAAAAGAAGCTCAGTGTTCCTCTTTTGCCCTGGACGGATATCATAGGGTGTTAGACCTTGAGGAAACCCTGCCCGTCCCCTTTTCAGGTTTGAGTTAGTTCAGAGTTGAGCCGTGGGATAACCTGCTATCCCCACCTCTGCTCCCAGGCTCGCAGTAGTGCTTGGATGTGTAATTTATCCTTCAGATCAGCGCCTTTGGAGAGTGAAGGACACTGGTGTGAATAGGACTGTTTAAGGACTCTCGGATGGATGTTTCTGAGTTTGGGGCAGACGTCACATGGGAAGTACCGCAGATACCAAGTCATGCTGTCGTGTTTCTGCCACAGCACTGTTGTGCAGGCCATGTGAAAAGGTGTTTTCACACAGCGGAAAGCACTGTGCGCATGTCACATCTCACTGTCCTCTCTCTCCCTTAGAAATTTAAGATCCGCATCGAAGACCCGCCCCGCAGAAAGCACATGGTCTTCCTGGGCGGGGCGGTTCTGGCAGACATCATGAAAGACAAAGACAACTTTTGGATGACCCGACAAGAGTATCAGGAGAAAGGTGTCCGAGTGCTGGAGAAGCTGGGTGTGACTGTTCGATAAACCCGCATGGCTCGTTCCCGTCACACCACTCACGCTTTCTTTTTTCCTTTATTGGCAATCTTTGAACTCATTCAACTCCAGGACATGGAAGAGGCGTCTCTGTGCCCTTTGACTGGAGAGGTCAAGTTTGATTCTGGTGTCTTGGGGAAGCTTTGTTAAACTTTTGTTCCTGTGGGTAAATCTGGCTGCTTAATGCAACCGCTTCCCTACAAACAAAACCAGAGGGCAGAGGGTCTCTGCTGCTTTGTTTCTTCTGAGTATGCGTTTAGATCACTGCTGTAGCTTCTTATTTTCACTTTACTGCTCTAATGCTGCTAGTTTTAGTCTTTAGCACAGTAGGTGGTATGCCTGATTAGCATAAGAACTTTAACGGAGCTTTTACACTTCCCCGGGGTGGGGCGGTAAGGGCGGGGTGGTTGCGCAGCCCTGAACCCCTTGGGGCATCTTCTCTCTGGTGTGGCGCCTGCAACAGTTAGTGCTGCAGCTCTAGGTACCTTCAAGCTTCTCCTGTTAACATGTTAGGGCAATGTTAAGCTCAGAACTAAAGTGTTTTGGGTAGGTTATTGTGTGGTGGGGCAATGGGTAGTCTCTCTTGATGATCATTTTTGAGGTTTTTTTTGCAAGTGGGGGTTGTGCAGAACATGAGCTTTATTTACAGTACTTCGATTTGGCAGGTTTTCTTCTTTTGGTCTGCCTGGAACTGTACGCATATGATATAACAAGTGTAATATTTCATTACCATGTGGCTTAGGGATTTTTTTTTAATTGACCATGTTAGCTGGGACTAGACTCCATAGAATCTCTCAGTGGAAAAGTAACATTTAAGTATGCTTTTAAAAATAAATATTCTTTTATTAATTCAAATTACAGTGCTTACGAGCTAGTGTTTTCTAAACGCTTCTGTTTATTCTGGAAGCATTAAGGTAACTCAGCACCCAGTACCATTTCTTGCAAAGAATTATTTCGTATAACTGACCAGTGCTTATTTAATAAAACAAGCAGTTACATGTAAATGGTTACTGGCAGTGGGTTTTCCTTGTTGGTGTAAAAATTACATTGGAATGTGGGACTTGTTGCCAGTTGTGATTCCCATTTGCTTTTTGTTTTGATTTGAGACCTACAAGCAGAGTAAAATTTGACTGTTTAAAATGTTGGCCAAAAACAAGATTTAAATGTCTGTACTGAAAACTAACCCTAACTTCTAATTCTCAGATGTGTTTTATGCTTGCAGGAAGAGTGGTTGGGATTTGTAAACGTCAGCAAACTTTCCTGCCTGTGTCAGAAAATCCTATGAATCTTACCAGTGCTGTTATCTGAAAAAACATCAGATAGTACCCAGACATGAGTTCTCCCTAAATTTGAAAAATAATAAGAAATCACATCATGCCAAGTGTAAAATACACATTATTTTTCTGTATTTTAAAACATTCTTTACTAAAAATGAGTTTGAAAAGGAAAGCCTTAATTTTTTGGACGACTGAAATCAGAAATTGGCTTGTCTCTTTGTATGAGAAAATTAAAAATTGGTTTATATGAAATAAGCAGCAAAAGAAGTTTATTTTTAGTTACACAGTTCTGTTAATACTGTTTTTTGTCTGTTTTACCTCAATTTGAACACAGAAGTTGGTATGCATGCTGGACATGCTTGGTGAACAGCCCTTGAACAGTGTCAGCTGGATTTGGGGGCGTGGCTGTCAGAATCACTTTGGAACCCTAAAGTGTCCCTAACTCAGACACCGTACTTGCAGCTGCTGCAGCCGTTTGAGGCATGGGCTGATGCAAGGACACGCGCTGTGTGTAGGGCCCGTGTCTGCTGACTCCTTAGTTCAGGGACGTGGATTGACTCCTGGCCTTGGGTCGTGACTTTTTGAAATACAGGAATAAGAAACAACCAAGAATGGGAAGAACTCTTAATAAGAAAACTAACTCTTGTCATTTGTCCCATGAATGTAGAATTTGTTTTTATTTTACAATTGTGCTAATGAAATGCAGTTAAAATGGTATATTAATATATGTGTGATAATTTAGAAATTCCATTTTATGATTTCCCTGTCCTAAGGTGAAATAATACATGTCATCATTGGGAGTTGGGAGGTGTTCTGTTCAGTTGGAATTGTCTCCTACAAGTGGGGGTGGTTTCTGTTTTAAAAGAGATCTGATTTTTAGCTCCTGAAAACCCATTGTCACGTAGATTCCAATGATAATTAAAATCACCAATGCCTTGAAGGGTTTCTCAGAAAACATGGTACTGCCTGTCAGCTTCTGCACAGTTCTGACTGAGCACTGTCAGTGTCTGGAAAGTATGTTGAAAGATCGATGACAAGCTCAGTATTCTAAATTGAATGCAAATATACTTCTTACTGATTCAGAAAATAAAATCAGATTTTTCAAAGTAAATTTGAATTGTGTCTTTCTTTTAATCATTTTTCTCATTTAAAAATTTTTATTCATACTTTTATTTTTGAAGAGAACTAATGGTGAGAGAATTCTGGCTTTTGTTTTCTTCCAGCAAACCTTTGTTTCCCAAGACAGTTAAGGTGGCTTTTACAGAATTAGCAGTGCTAATAGTACTGTATGTAGTATGCCTCTTTTTAAGGACATTTAAGCTCATCTGCAACTTTTAGATAATTTTTAAAAAACCAAGTAAATCAGAATGAAAGGATATTTAACTGACTCTGACTTGCTTTTATACTAGCCTTCAGAATGATTCTGTATTTTGTCTTTTCCTTCTTCATGAACTTGTGAATTGATAAAAGGTGAAAGATTTATACACTTGGAAGAGAAATGGGACTTACACATTGGAGCCTCACTCCCCCGTCATGAGCAGTCCCTCAGTAGAATGACGTGCTCAGTGTCCCTGGAGAGTGTGCCTGGCTCCGCATAGTGGTCGTTGTGAAATGAATGACTCCGTGCTCTTTTTTTTTTTTCACCCTCAAATTTTGATTCCCATATAATTGGGTTTACTGAGTTAAGGTTAATGAAAATAAGCTACTTTATACATCTGTGATTTACACACTAAACATGTTTAAAGAATCCTAAGGCATCTTTCTGCTCACTTTAGCGTCTGAAGTTAGGAAGAAAGGAGCTGTTGACCCACAGTTACTTTTGTTTACATCATTTACACCATGGCTGTGACAGAATCTGTTAACTCTTACTATAAGTATTTCAGTTAATATTCTCTTCATATGTAAAATTTCTAACAGCAGGGGGAATCAAAATGATTTCTTTTTTAAGAGAAAGAACAGACTTCCTGTCTCTTTCATATCTACCCCCTCAACTCCCACCCAGCTGAGGAAGAAGAAAAGACTGGAAAAGACTTTGCATATAATTTCCCGTGAAATACTTAAAAGTAAGAACAGAAGAATTAGAGCATATTTTTAACTGCGCTTGCAAGGACCAATTGGAAAACTTGGGTTTGGGGAGTGTGGGAACCCATCACGGAGCTTAGAACAGTTTGCAGGTCCTGGGGTGGACTGTGAGGACTTGCACAGAACTAAGATGCATGTCTGGCCCGTCGCCCACGGTGAATGTATTCCTTATAGCAGACGTGTGCTAATAAAAATTTTAAAAACTTTGCCATTAACGTTAAGTTGAGCCTTAGCCTGTCGAATATATTCTAAGATTAGTAAAAAGAAAACAATAAGCTGCTTGAACAGGGGTTTGCAAAGGAGGGCTCCAGCTAAAGAATAAGAACTTCGTGAACAAAGGAGGAATAGGAAATGTTTGAATCAGAGGTGGAGGTTTTAAACAGGAAGTTCTGAAATTAAAGTCTGCCACAGTACTATTTTTTTGGTGGTGCTGGGCATTGAACACAGTCTTGCACATGCTAGCAAGTGCTGTACCGCTGAGCTGCACTCCCAGTCTCATTTATTTATTTAGGAAGTTAGTACTGGGACCTGAACCCACAGCTTTGTCACTGATGGTATATCCCCAGTGCACTCCCTCCCCATTTTTTGCCACAGGGTCTCATGAAGTTGGTAAGTTGTCCGGCCTGAACAAACTTGCGATCCTCCTGCCTTAGTGTTACAGAGTGCGGAGATCATAGGCGTGTGCCACCACACCTGGCAAATTCGATCATTCTGTGAAAGGTGTTCTGTAGGATTTGAAATTTTTTAAAAAGGTGTCTAAAATAGGCACAAGAAAATCGCAAGTTTTATCCTTAGGGAAACAAGTGTAAGGATTTTCTAAGAGTTATTTCTAGTTTTAGAAAGGGTGTGTGTGTGTGTGTCTTGGTGCTGGAATTCTAACCAAGGTCCCCAACCATTCTAATTCTTAATGCCAACTCATTGAAGAGTGATTTTTGAGGGGTTTTGTGCTGTTTTGGGTTTGTTTTGTTTTGTCTTGGAGACAGGATCTCATTATGTTGTTCAGGCTGGCCTCAAACTCATGGCAGTCCTCCTGCCTCAGCCTCCCAAATGCTGGGATTACAGACTGGCACGCCCCACCACACCCAGTAAAAGTAAGTGATTTGGGCCCTAACTGGTTCAGATGTTGCAAGTGAATTGTTAATGCACATTTCATCCTGTGACGTGAACCTTCAATTCTAGAAATGTATAGTTTCTCTTTTCTCTTACATCTATTGGAGAGCCTCTGGCACTCGTTAAAATTGCTTGAAGAACTACTAAAAAGAACTGCAGCCTAAATTTTAGAGCCTAACCTTGATGACTGATTCAGCAGACCCTAAGTGATATAGGGAGGCTCTTTTAATGCTTGTTTTTAGTTAGTGGTTTAGGTGGAATTCAGGCAGATAAACCACCAGCATACATGCATTGCTTGCTTGCTTGCTTGCTTGCTTGCTTGCTTGCTTTCTTGCTTGTTTGCTTGCTTGCTTGCTTGCTTGCTTGCTTGCTTTCTTGCTTTCGTCTTTGAGACAGGGTCTCACTATGCAGTTCAAACTGGCGGTGAGCTCACTTTGTAGCCCAGGTTGGTCTTGAATTCCCAATGATCCTCCTGCCTCAGCCTCCTGAGTTCTGAGATTACAGGCATGCACCACTATGCCCGGCTATCACCAGCATTTTAAAATCCTCTGATTACACAACTTGGCGTTATAAAGGGAACTCAAATGAAATTGGGTTGGGCTTGTGGCGCAGTGCTAGAGCCCTAGCTTTGTGTGCATAAGGCCGGATTAGATCTCCAGTGTATGTCCTTTTCCTGTTTGTATGTTAAGTGTACGAGATGATGTGGCTGGAAAATAGTTACCTGAATTTCAAAAGCAGAGGCTGGGAATATAGCTCTGGTAGAATGCTTGCCCAGCAATACAGGGTCTGGGTTTGGTCCCCACCACAAAAAATGCTGGTTCCTGAGGCCTACTCTGAACATACTGCATCTGGTTTTCTCTCTTCTGCAGCTGTGTCTCAGAGGCTCTCGTGCCCCTTTGGGTGCTAAGAAGATAGGCTATAAACTATGAACCTGTCATCTGGGCCCGCACCTGCTTTCTCTTTCCTGTGGGGGAAAAAATGGGAGTTTTTAGCAGATGAATTCAGAAGAGAAAGGAAAAGATTTGGGAAGCTGGAACCACTTAAGAGACCAATAAACTCCCAGACTGATGACCCTTGTGTTGACTTCCACCCGACCTGCCCCACATGAATCCTCGGTTCAAGTAAGGGATAAACCTCCTTTGCTCAAAATGCAAATTCTGGGAAGATTAGAGCCCCAGCAGTCATTCACACCTCTGGGTGGGTTAAAGGAAGTCTGGAGTCCATACTGACGGTTGCGGCTGTGTGTGATTTGAGCGAGGGGCGATCTGTAACACGTGAGGCAAGCGCTGGAGAAGATTGGCAGACTCCTGAGCAAGTAGTTTACCTAGCAAGCTGAGACTTTAGGGGCTCAGAAACTTGGAGGTGGGTCCTGAAAGCAGTGAAAGGCCCAACAAAGCTGCTTATTTGAACAAGCTGTACAGCGGCCTTGTCCGTGCTTAGGGGCTTCTCTGAACCTGGGGTAGCACAGCTGACACCAACTCCCATATGACCTCAAAACGAATTTTTCAACCACCTATATAGAGTACCTTCCAGTCTTTTTTTTTTTTTTTTTGGTACCGGAAATCAAACTCAGGACCTTGTGCTTGCCAGGCAGGTGCTTATGCCACTGAGCTATATCTCCAGCCCCCTTTCAGTCTTCTGATTGGGTTTTTAAAGTATTAACCTAGTTGGATTACAAAATTTGGACGTTTATGGTATTGTTTTTATTGGTAGTTGCTACAGAAAAAAAGTTGGTTCCTATCTTTGCCCTTCTAGGTAGAGATGATTTTAGCCAAAGATTGGAAAGAGGGGCTTGCTTCTGCTTTACATTACATTAATGTACTACGTATTTGAATATACTGCCATCTTTGTGTACACAGTCGCTCGTGTTTGCAGTGGATTGGTTCCAGGATACACGCGCGTGCGCACGCACACACCCACACACACTGAAACAAAACACCAAAATCCACGAATGCTCAACCCTTCATTATAAAGCAGCATACACAGTGTTAGTGCGTAACCTTCCTGCCTTCTCCTGTAGACTTTAAATCATTTAGAGATTATTTATAGCACCTAATACAATGTAAATACTAGGTAAATAGTTGTTTTAGGGAATAATGATAGGAAAAAGCCTGTACATATTCAGTATGTACATAGGGGATTTTTCAAATACAGCATTTTCAATTCGTGGTTGAATCCTCAGGGAGCTGTGGATAGTGGACCCACTGTGCAGAATAAATGATTTTACAGTAAGTGTATATATGACACGCTTTATACATACTCTACAGTAGAGATACTGCATGAGACGGGGGCCAGCTGCACATAAGTACATGAACAGGGTAACTAATTTTCAGGGCAGGAACCCTCTCTGAGGAGCAGTTTAATGGCTCCTTTAGTTGAGCAAGAAGTAACTTCTATCGTGTAAACCTAATTATCCAGCTCGTAGGCACAAGCTTTAGAGTTCTGTCTAGAGAGTACCTAGTTGATATTAAGCATATTTTATTGCAGTTTGTTTGCCTGTATATTCAGTTCCTACTGTTTTGACCATGAAAGCTTCTGTTAAATTTACAGTTTTATTGTAGAGCACACAAAAAGTATCTTTTGGCCTTTTAAGCACTATCGCAAATAGTTTGCTAGACATATATAGCATATGTTTGAAACCCTCATTAGTCCTTAAATCTACCCCAAAGCGGAAGAGTTTAATTGTTCGTAGTGACCAATATTTACACATTAATGTATTATGTTGTTATTATTATTTGCAGTGCAGGTAATTGAATTCAGGGTCTCAGGACGCCAGCTAGGCCACACACTGATTTTAATGACAGCTACAAGTTGATTTGGGGAGCATTAGTGTTTATTATTTGCTTTTTCTCAAATACACAAGTTACAGGTGGTACTAGGAAAACAGGATTCTGATTTAAGCTACTACTCTTAAAATGG